AAAGAGAAGGATTTCGGGGGTTCATGAGGCCAAGGTTGGTCCCACCCAGGCCTAGACCCTTGGGTGCAGGGCAATGAGCACAGAGGAGCCCCTGTACTTGGCAGTGCTTGAGAGGAGAGGCCTACAGCTTTGTCAGGTCCAGTTTCAGCTTGTAGGGTGGGGGACTGTCCCCAAAAGCGTGTGACGGAGGAGGGTACAGAGGCCAGTCTGGCTCTACCATGAAGCCCTTGTGTTGCTCCAAGGTCAAGGGCTGTAAGGAAGGAGGAGGGAGGGCAGGTTACTGAGCCCCGACCCTGCCACCCTCTATCCTACCCCTTAGGTCACCCTAACTAAGGAGGGCGTTCTCCCCATTTCATGAAGATGCAAAGAAACTTGCCCGATGTCACACAGCAAGTCAGGGGGCCCTGCCTCCACGGAGAACAACAGGTAGCCCCATCCAGAACTAGGGAGCAGCTCTCCCCCACCCCTCTTCCAAGCCAACCCACTGGCCCATCACCTGGAATTTCAGGTGCTGGCCAGGCACGGTCACCAGGGTGGAGCAGCTCAGCCACAGCATCACCAGCACAGAGAGGAAGAGGCAGCAGGCCAGGATCCAGCGAGGAAGCCCTGAGCGCCTGCCCAACACAACAGCCTCAGTGGAGTCTGAGAGACCCTCCCCTCCCACCCTACCCCCACCCCCAGGGTCTTGCCACCCACCGGGACATGCAACTGAGGAAGTCGTTGTCTTGCATCTCGTCGGACTCCACCTTAGACTTGCTGCTGGTTTTGACTCTAATCTTGGCCTTCTTGACCTTGTCCAGGGGGCCTACAGGGTCTGAGAGACAGGTTCTTCCTCAGTGGCTACTAGGCCTTCCCCAAGAGGCCACAGCGGCCATGGAAAAAAGAAAGGAAGCCAGAACATAGGGCAATGGGCATGGAGTCCTGGAATAGATCAGAACCCTGGGAGATGGACCACAGAACCCTGGGAAATGCGCCAAGGAACCTTGGGAGACTGACCATGGAACCCTGGGAGCCAGACAACAGAACTCCAATTGCGACAGAAATCCCAATCCTAGAGCGTTCATTTGCTGGCAGGACTCCTTATGGCAATGGAGCCACCCACGGAAAGGACACTGGTCTAAGCTCAGATCTTACCCACATGCACCTCCAAGGCCTCAGGATGGGATCCCCGCCAAGTCACCTCTACTCGCTGCAAACGGGCCCCCTGGTGCCCCAGGCTCTCTACCACGGGCTGAGTCTGGGCCAGGAACAAGAAAGCAAAGAGAAGCCTTTTAGAAAGGCACCACCTCAGCATAACACCTCTCTGTGCCCCACAAGGGCTACATGCCCAGATGGAGCCTAGATCCACTGGGTGTAGGAAGGGCAATCTCCCATGTGGCTGTGGGCTGTGATATCAGGAATATTGTTCTCTGTTATTGTGGGCTCCTCAATTTGTCTTGACCCCAGCCTCCAGTTCCTGAAGAACATGATCTAGGCTAAGCCAATAGAATCACAGGGATTGGCTGAGAGGTAGTTACATGACCCAGCAAGGGACAATCAGAGTAAATCCTAGCTTAGTTAAAACTCCAGAGAAGTTGTAATTTAGAGGCTTAGTCATCCATCCTGCTATCAGGAGGAAAGTGCTTGCCTGCGGGAATAAAGCCACCACAAAGAAAGCAGAATCAAGGAGTAGAGTGAGACACTGAACCCCTGGATTGAGCTGTGCCTGAAGTTTGATTGGCCACCTGTGGACTTTACATCCCATGAGCCAAGAACAAATGTATCCCACCTTCCTACCCTAACCACCCACCCACCCACCACCACCCTGGTGTGGCCCCTGAAAGATCCCTCACCTGGAACACTACCACCTTCCCATTGTCAGTCTGCAGGTAGTATGTCCAGGTGGAGGAGACGAAGCCCTGGGCTGAGTTGACAAGGTCATTGCAGAGGGTAGAAAACAAGTCCAGGAGTGAGAGAGCCCCACTTGGAGCTTCCAGGACCTTTCTCTGTTGAGAGGAAGCCCAAGGCATGGAATGTGAGTAAGGCAGAGCATTGACTGATGGGAGAGGAGCTGAGCTAGTCTACTGTGATCAGAATTCACTAAGTGTTTTGGGGCAAGAAGGCTTCATACTAGGAACACAGACCTCAGTGCTGCATTTGGTTGGCTGTATGCCCTAGAGAAATGGATTGCCTTCTCTGAGCCCTAGAATGGGACTGATTCTCTACACTCATAGGGTTGCTACAAGATTTCAACTAGACAATGGCATAGCACAGTGCCTAACATATAGTAGTTGCTATTATTAAAATTTTTGCCATCATCATCATTTCTCTTTTATGGCATAATTTTTCTTTTATTCTGGATAACTCAGAATAGGAAGGACTGATAGTGCTGTTTTTATAGAAAGTGAAAGCCTGGAGGGGATGGAGGAAAATGGAGGGAGGGAAAGAACTCCCTAAGCAATCCCAGCCCATGAGTCTCTGGCTGCAATGAATTATTTTCTGTGCCTCAGTGTCCCCGATGCAGCATTGCCTAGACTCACTCATGACTATGACAGATGAGTAGTAGTTATTATTTCTCCCTAGGGTGATGGGGCAGGGGGGACAGTGCATGTATACTTGGGAGGTTGCTCTTTCCTGAACCTCGGTTCTGAGCCACCCCAGATGACAGTGGCCACCTGTTCATCACAAGGAAAGTGTTTAGACAAGCACCTGGCATGTAGTAGGTGTTCAATAAATTCAGCTCTCGTGGCACTGAAGATGAGTGAGGTAAGGGGTGGTCATAAGTCCTGGTGGCACTTGCTTTAGATGTCATTTCTGTACATCCCTGTGTGACCCTGAGTAGTTGCTCTGTGGGCATGACAGAGGGGTGACATTGTCCCTGCTGCCTCTGGACAGCACAGAGAATTTGGGACAGGCCAAGGTGAGGCCTGGACCAGGACAAATGCTTGATAAACAGTGGCTGCTTTCTGTTAGTTATTTACTTCTTGTGAGGTGGCAGGGGTGGGGAGTGGGGGTTACTTCCCATGTCACCTGAGGCTCGATCAAGGACACCCAGTAGGCTCAGAATGGAATAGTGAACCTGGGAAACTCTGGACATGAGTGCAGACTTTAGAGGGAGTAAAGAAGACGGGATATGAGCCTGGGAACCCAGGTAGTAGAGCTCCCACCTTCTGCTCAGACTCTGGCTCAGGCTCCAGCTCTGGGTTCTGGCTCCAGCAGCCCTCACTGCAAGCCTGCTGCTCCGTCTCCTTCACGTAGGCCTCCACGCAGGCTGCAGGGGCAGGAGGGGATGACTGCAGATAGCCCTTCTCAGGCTACCTCTCCCCACCCTGGCCCGCCTGACCAGCCCTCACCTGCTTCACACTCGGCCTGTGTGGCATTGGGTTTGGAGCTCCTGGCCACAAACCGGCAGATGGAGAAGAGGCGGCAACCTCGCTCACATGCACTGATGAAGACGGCCCTGTCATACTCATTCCTGGACTTAGAGGAGTCCTCCTGCTCAAGCTCCTCCTGGGAGGGGGACATGGGGCTCAGGCCAGGAAGATAAATGGGAGGACATGGGTACTGGAAGCATTCAGGGAAGGAGGTAGAAGATTTGACTCCCCTCCCCCAAATCTAGGGAGTTAGGGATGAAGCTAAGAATATTAGTGGGGGCTCTTAGCTCTGAGGAGGACAGAAGGGAGGGGACTTAAGAAGGGGTATGGAGAACACTGGGTTTTGATGATGGTTAGAAAACTGGGGAAGATGGAGGGAAATGGGCCTCCTAAGCTTCAGGGAGGACAGAGGAGGTTGAGGGGGATCCTCCGGCCTGAGGAAGGAGGTGGGGCTCAGAAGAGGTTTGTCACCCTTCAGGCCTGGGAAAATTGGGATCCAGCTTGGGAGGCGGTGAGGATACAACTGGGGGTTGGTAGCTCTGGAGTGGGGGTAGGGAGGAGGATGTGGAAGCTGCTTAGGTGGGGGAGGACGAGGAGGGGACTGTCAGGCCTGAGGGAGGTGGGGGTGGGGCGCCCTAGGGTTCTTGCGCAGCAGAATGTAGCCAGAGCCCGCCAGAAGGCATAAAGATCCTTAGTCTTCGCCCCACCCCACGATTGGAGGGACCCCTCCAACCCCTCATTCATTGGAGGTACCCGCATCCCAATACCCTCCCCCACTGCCACCACCATCCCCTTCCCCGCAGAAGGAACACTCCCATTCCCATCGGAGGGACCCAGACGCCTGCGCTTGCCGCCATTGAAGGGAACCCAGCCCTTTTCCCACCAGAGGGACCCAACCCCATGGGAGAGACACCCCTCCTAGGAACCTCTGTCTCCGCTCCCAACCGAAGGACCAGCCCCCATCTCAACCCCTCCCCCATCTGGAGACCGCGGCTCTCCGGGCTGGCGCCACATGCGCGTCACCTGCGAGGGCTGCGGTCTAGGGTAGCGGTCGCGGCACCGCAGCTGGCAGCTCTGCGTGTCCCCGAGCTGAGGGGCGAAAGGGTCGCGGGCGGGAGGCGCGGGCGTGGCGGGCGGAGGCTGCAGCAGCAGCAGCAGCATCAGGAGCGGCAGAAGCGCCACCGGAGCCATGGCGGGGCCGGACGCGAGGGGCGCGGGACGCCGGCTCTCGCAAGCGCAGAGGATGCAGCGGCGGCGAGGACCAGGTTGCTGACGTCACTCAAGCGAGGCAGCCTGGGAAGCGGGGGTGGGGATGCGGAGAACGGGCGGGGCAGTAGCGCTGCGGCACTGTCTGGGTGCGGGCAGGTGGATCACGGCCCCCGCCTTCTGTCCTATTTGCCCTGACACCTCCCTCTTATCCACTGGCGAGGGGATCTCAGCCTGAGCTAGAAGCCAAAAGGAAACAAATAGGTTGATGGAATGGGGGTGGGGGGCTATTCGCCAGCGTATCAGGGAGGGCCTTCCAGAGGAGGCTGCGTGTGAGCTGTCCACGCAGGAGGGCAATTAAGGCAGAAGAAACAGCAAAGGCCTTGAGACGGGGAGGTGCTCTTTGGGAGAGGAGGTAGGAAGGCCAGATCCCAGCCAGAGAGTGGAGATAGAGGGCCATGAAGGTCGCAGGGCTGGGTCAGCAAAGGCCTTGGGAAGGTTCCCGAAATCATCTTCTTTGATACCAAGTCAGAGGGACGGTAACTTGTGTGCGGTTTGCCTCCTTCAGGAAGCTCTCCCAGATGCTCCAAGGCTCCCCCAGCCTTGCCTCACTCTGGTCCAGCCATAATCCACAGACTTGGGGGATCTGGCCTCTGCTCTCCCACACTGGGGGCCCCTCAGCCCGTGGCTTAGTGAGAGGGGGCATAGAGGTGCAGACAGGAGTGGAGTGCTGCTAAAGTTTCTAATTCTCGTGGGAAACCTTGGGGAAAATGGACACTTCTGGCTTCCATAACTGCTGCACTGCAAGGTGACAGATTGCAGCCCCTTGAATGTCGGGTTAGGATATTACCCTAGCTTCCTCTTCGTCAGGCGTGGGAGTGAGAGCGCCCCTCTTAACCTGGGTCGCCTGCAAAGATGACCCCCTCTCGCTGGCGTGTCCTGCACAGGTGCTACTGAGGCCCTACTGCCGCCCGCCAGTCTTCAGTCTACGTTCCGCTCCTACAGACAGGGCTGCAGCCATGCGGGGTCCGCGAGTCAGAGGGCGCCGCAGGTTCCGGCCAGGGAGGAGAGGACGAGGGAGTGGGTGGCGCACCCCCCTTCTCCCGGCCGGCCGCCGTGCTTTCATCTCCGCGGCCTCCGCCAGCCCTCACATGGCTTAATCAGGCGCGGCTGTGCCTGGCGGACCCCGAACATCTGGATCCCGGCACGCCCCTCCCCCGCCCTGCCCCGCCCCTCCCGGTCTAGGCCGCGGCGACCCTTCCCGGAGGGCCTCCTGCCGTGGTTTGCGCGAATGCGGGGGAACCCCCCATGTAATGCACCGCGCTCCAAGCCCGTGCCTCGGGAAACAGCCTTCGGTTACGATCAGAACTCTCCCCCATTTTACAAGTAGGAAACCTAGGCCCCAGGACCCCTCGGCAGAGCTAGGATTCAAACCCACACATGTCAGTTCCAGAGCCTCAAGCGCTTAAGTCTTCCAAAATTACCGTCCTGCATTTATCCCAAACAAAACACTTCCTAGGCATTTTCTTGCACCAATCCTATAAGGAAGTACTGGTAGCATTTTCCAATTTGCGGATGAGGAAACTGAGACAGGGTAGCGAAGGGAGTCAGTCCAGGTGACAAGCTAGCGAAGCAAAGAGGTGGGCAAAGCTGGGGGGATGGGCGTCGGTCCAGGTGACTAAGGAGAGAAGCAAAGAGGCGGCCAAGGCTGGCGGGGGTGGGGTGCCGTCGGGCATAAGAGGCATCGCTTAGAGCGCCAACAGGAAAGACAACCCGAATCCTGCGGGGAGGGGAAACTGAGGCAGGAGGGATTAGACCGCTGGCCTAGATTTCTGGAGAGGAGTGAGAGGGTTTGATTGCCTCCCACCTACTCCTCTTTCCGCTCTATAAGGCCGCTGGGGGCGGGAGCGGAAGGAGGACTTGACCCCGGCCCCCCAGGTGAGCCCCCGCGCCCCTCCTGCAGTTCCCCAGGGAGCAGGTCCAGGTGAGGGGCGGGAGGGCCGGCGGGCGGCCAGGGTCGGGTTTCAGGAAATCCGCCGACATTCCTTCGGGGCTTAAGAGGGAAAGTTGACTCGGCGCCGCCCCTCGGCCCCCCCCCACTTCCTACCCCCCGGGGCGGCCCGGCCGGGGGCGGCAGGCGGGGGGCCCTGCGGCTGGCCCGGGCGTGAATCAGCAGCGGGCCCGGCGTCCGGGAAGCAGCAGCCGGGGTCAGAGCGGGCATCGGACAAGCGCCCTTTGTCCCTTGCCGCCCTCACCACGACCCCGCTGACCCCCACCCTCAAGCGGAGTACATGCTGAGGAGAAGGCACGGCCCAGTGGCGCCGGCGCTTGCAGACAGTGGGAAGGGAGGGGAAAGGGGCACAGCTGTCTTCTTCACAATTGCTGGCGCCTCCTGAACCCCAGACATCGAGGTTCTCCAGGTGCAGAGGGGCAGACGACCCAGGCCTCCTCCATGGCCCAGAGCACACTGACCCTGACCTGGACCTAGGCAGCTCTGTGCTTCTGGGACCCCACATCCAAGCCTGTAACTCAGGCATCCATCCCATCTCCCCAGGATCAGCCTCCGCAGTGGAAATGATAAAGCCTCACTGTCTTGTGTACACAGGTCTGGAACCTGGTTCTGCCGCTCCAACCCCTAGTCCAAGTCCAGAAGCTCACTGTCACCACTTCCTAAGAATACAGGCCTGGAACAGAGGCAGCTAATCTCATGCTGAACCCTGAGCACCAGGGTCTTGCAAAGGAGAGGCAACTTTGTGCCCTCCTCCTTTCCACTGGCTCTGGGTCCGTATGGGACGCAGAAGGTGTTGTAACCACAGCCTCCTTCTGGTGCTCCTCAGTGCCCTGGAGTGACATAGGGAGTTGGGGCTGGAGGGTCACCGCCAACCTAATCCTTATGGGCAGAGGGTGTAAGATTGAGAAGGAGCCCCTCCCCCAGCCCATGTAAGGCCCTCCCTCCATCTGCCCCCTGAGTACATTCCCAGCCACCTTCAAGGACTTTGGTCAATATTTGCTAGTAGTTCCATCAATGCCTGTTCCTCTTCCTGTGCAAAAACGTGGTGTGACTGGGGAAGAAGGGGTTAAACTACAGGGGCACCAATAGCAAGGAAGGCAGTACCCAGCTATCAAATTCTTTCTTGAAGTCAAAGGTTTAGGTCAAGGTCACCCAGAGGGCAGAGTATGGCTGGACGGGATTGGAAAATCCAAAAGATCCATAGACCTTTCTATAAGTAAGGACCAGAGACGGGTGGCTACTGGCTTGGATCATGCAGCATGCCAGGGGCATAGGCCTGGCTGGGATCCCAGGCAGCATGATTCCCTGGAACTGAGTCTTCTTGCTGCTTGTAAGGACTGAGAATTCTCTCTTTTCATTTTGCAAATGTTCACTAAGCTCTCCTCCCTTGTTCCTTCTTGGCCCAGCATAGGGTCCATTAATAGCTTTTAGGGTGCTTACAATCTAAAGGAAATAAGTCACTGGAGAAAGATAATGTTTGAAGAGCTGTGTTACAAAGACCATTTAAAAAGGGGAAAGGGATTGCGAGCGACTGGGAAGGGTGGGGGGCCCCTTTGAGAAGGTGACACTTGACCTGTGACCTGATGGAAGAGAAGGTGCTAACTGAAGATTTGAGGGAACTGTAAACCTGCAGAGGAGACAGCAAACATACAAAGACCCTGCCTGGTGTGTTTTGGGAAATGGGACTGCAGTAGAGTGAAGGGGAGGCAGGGGAAGAGGAGGGTGGAGAAGAGGAGGCGAGAAGTGTGACAAGGAAGAGGAGACCAGCTTCACTTTTAAAAGCTCCCTCTGCCTGCTGTGCAGATGGGGGCAGGAGGGTTATGGGGAAGCCTGGGAGCAGCCTGGGGAGCACCCCAGAGGGAGGTGGTAAGGCCTGGACCTGAATGGGGTACGGAGAATCTCAGGATGGGGATGTTTGGGAATCAGAGCCAACAGGATTTGCTGATGAATGGGACGTGGGGGATGCGCGAAGGAGAGAGTTGTCACGCACGCCTCCAGGTCTCTGGCCTGAGCACCTGGGTGGATGGGGGAGCCTTTTCCCAAGACCGAGGGATGACTGGGGAAGGAGCAGACATTGGAGGGGGGGATATCAAGATTTTGCTCCAGAAGACTTAAGTCCTCCAAGAAGGGAATCAAATATTGAAGGGCGGAGGTTGTAGGGGGAGGGGTGGCACATATCCTGCACACAATTCCATCCAAGAACTGCCACCTGCACTTCATCCTCTGGACCACCTGGCAGGGCTATGGCCCCATTTTTCACAGGTGACAAACTGAGGAATGGGGACCACCTCTGCTCCAAAAGTAGGTGCCGCCAGTGCTTGGTGCTATCCTAAGTGCTTAGATTGTGGGGCCCTCTGCTGCACTGTATCTTCCCACAGAAATCTTTAAGCTGGCTGGGAGTCCCCCATTGTGCGGAGAGGGAAACTGAGACAGGCCTGACTGGCCCCAGTAAAAGGCAGTGAACCACTAACCAGCTTTACTCCCCGGTAAACCTATCCAGAGTCCAGATGGCCGGGCGCTGAGCCCCCAGGACCCCATCCTCCAACCCTCTTTTCTGACAGTCTGGGGTCTGAGTTGGAGACCCAAGTGTAAGGGCTAGAGGGCAGCCTTGAGCAAACAAGGTGGGGGTTCCCGAGACCCCTCAGACACTTTTACCCCGTTGGCTACTTAGGGACGTGGGTGAAGGGTCCAGGCCTCTAAGGGAACCCCGGGAAGGGAGAGTTAGAGACCTTCCCTCCTTAGGGCGTGTGGCTGGGGGCAGGGCTTCAACCCAAACCGCGCGGGCCAGGCGGAACCCTCATTTCAGGCACCCCTCCACGCAGCCTTGGAGGCCAGAAACCTTTTTATCGTGGGCGCTTGTATCAGCTAGGAACGGAGGGTAGGGGGATGAGGCGTCTGGGCCGGAAGGGGGTCCCGAAACCCAAGCACTGGCCAAAAATAACAAGGAAAAGGATCCGCGCGCAAAAATAGTAAGACAAACTATGCGTCGCTCCCGGCAGCCGGCGTTACCTGGAGTCCGCGGGCGGCGGCCGCCGGAGCTATTACTCACTGCGTGGCGCACCCCACCCGCGGGCCGCTGAGCGGATTTTTCCGTGGGGGGTGTCAAAGAGTCCAGGGCAGCTCCTCACTGCTCTCTTTCAGGGCATCCCTCCTGCCCACCAGCGGGACTCGCTCAGGCCCCCCGTCTCGGTTCCCACGGGGGCCCATTTCCCCCTGTCTGATCACGCGTGAGCTTCCTCTTGAGTCCCCCGGGCCCTGTGAGGAACCTCAGCCCCATCCTGCGCGAGGGGGACAGCTGAGTCAGGGTGAGGGCTGGGGACTCCGTGCTTCCAGTTTTTTCTCCGTCTTCCCTCCAGCAAAGCCTGGGCCCGAGGTTGCGCGCAGAGGACAGAGGAAAGGAGGGATGCAGTGGGAGGGGGACCTCTGGGCCAAAACCCGCTGGACCCGCGCTCCGAGGGCGTGGGGCGCGCAGGGGGCGACTTTCAGGCCCCTGGGGAGGAAGGGGGGCTGGAGGTGGGAGCAGGCGGGGCTCAGGGACCGCTCAGTAGGCAGGGGCGGGGCCAGAGCTGGAGTGGGGGCTGAGACAGGATTGCCCGGGGAGGAAAGAGCCAGGGCTGAGGGCTGCAGGGGACACTAAAGGTGCACAGGACCGAAAGCAGGGTGCAGGGTAGTGGGCAGGAATATGGAAACTGGGTTGGGGGCTCCAGGTCCCAGATTGGGGGTGGGGAGCGTGGAGTTGGCTAGGTTGGAATGGGAGGTCCCAGGCCCGTAGGGGTTGAGTGGGGGGTTCTGGGCCGCGGGACAGGGCGCGCGCGGTGCGCGGCGGGGCGGA